TACTGCACAAGTAGCGCAGTACCCTCTTAGCAGCATCCATGTGCACCTTTCGGTGCCGACCAGGAGCCACGTAGCGAGCCAGAAGGCCAAGAGGGTACGCGAGGTCAGGACGAGTGCAAGTCATCAGGTACATGAGACAGCCAACTAGCTCTGGCTAAGGACCACTCGGCTCTACGGACTCGTCCGAAGGTGGAGCTGAGAGCGAGTGACCTGTAGCCAGTGGAGTGGCCTGTGCCGAGGACCAGGTGAAGCCGAAGCGCTGAAGGACCTGCTGCACCATGTGTGACTGAGTCAGTGTGATGGTGCGGCGTGCTCTGTCCCGGGTGATCTGCAAGCCAAGGTAGCTGCGCAGTTCACCCAGGTCTGTGCACGTGTGTCTCTTCTGCAGCTCCGACTTCACGAGGGCGAGAGCCTCAGTGTCAGCAGTGGCAAAGACCAAGTCGTCGACGTACACGAGGATGTAGAACGGCGGCATCGAAGTGTCGGTGCGCAGAAACAGCGACGGGTCAGCAGTAGAAGGCGCGAACCCAAGAGCCGCAAGTGTAGTCCTCAGTGTGTCGTGCCACTCACGTCGCGCCTAGCGGAGACCGTAGACCGGCCGCCGGAGGCTCCACTGGGTACCAGGAGGGAACGACCCAGTGAAGCCAGGAGGGCGGCGCAGCCAGATCTCCTCGTGCAGGCTGCCCTGCAAGAAAGCTGTGCTGAAGTCAAGAGAGTGAAGCTCGTAGTCACGCTGAGCGGCAACGTGCAGTAGCACCAGAAGAGTGGTCATCTTTGGGGTGGGGGAGAAGGTCTGGAAGAAGTCTACTCCCTCTCGCTGACTGAAGCCTCGAGCAACGTAACGAGCCTTGAAGACAGGCGGAGAACCTGGCGGCCGCTTCACCCTGAAAATCCACACGCCACTGACGATGTTCGCCCCAGGAGGGGGAACCTCGTCGACGTAAGTGCCAGTGGACTTCCAGGATGCCATCTCTGCGTCCATGGCTGACTGCCACTGAGAGGAGTACTCACCCACGATCGCCTCAGCGTAAGAGCGCGGGGTCGGGATGTCTGGTGCATCCGGGTCTCCCTCAGGTGCAATCAGCATGGAGACGAGATGAGGTACAGCGGCGGCAAAGCACTCAAACTCCTCCTGCCTGTCCTCAAGGACGTCCGTGCCAAGAGCACACTCACCCCCGACGGACGGAGGACATACATACTCAGACTCAGACTCAGCAACAAGACTCGCAGCGTAGTCTAGACGACAGTGAGCAGCAAAGTCGACAAGCTCAGCAACTAAGGCAGACGCAGCAGCTGACTCAAAGGAAGGGTCAGTGACAGCAGTGGCCAGGAGACGCGTGACAGTAGGACTAGCAGCACGAAGAGAGTCAGACTCCGGGTCTGCAAGGGCAGGAAGAGAGGACGCAGGAGGAGAAGGCAGCGGGACACGCTGTGGAGCAGTGGAAGGACGAAGCGCCATCTGGTGAGTGCCTGGGACAGCAGGAGGACGCTGACGCGGGACACGACGACCAGTGCGAGCAGCGCGAACAGGTGACGCAGACCGAGACTCAGGCGACACAGGACGAGACTCAGGCTCACGACGCTCCGTAAGACCGCCTGTCGGACCAGTGTAGGGAGAAGGACCAGGGAGTGGCGAGGCAGGCGGTAGCTGTGACAGCGACTGGACAGGCGGAGGACACTCTAAGGAGGGAGCAGGACAAGGAGGAGGCGGCTGACCAAGAACCTGCTGAAGGAGGGGAACGAAGTACGGCTGTGGCCGTGAAGTGCCCCCAGAACCAGCAGAGACAGCACCAGAACCTCCAGCAGCAGCTCCATCTCGCTCAGCACCACCAGCAGCTCCAGTACCTCCAGCAGCACCAGCAGCACCTCCAGCAGGACCAGCACCAGCAGCACCTCCAGCAGCACCAGTACCTCCAGCAGCACCATCCCCAGTACCAGCAGCACCACCAGCAGCTCCAGCAGCTCCAGTACCTCCAGCAGCACCAGCAGCACCTCCAGCAGGACCAGCTCCAGCAGCTCCAGTAGCACCCCCAGTCCCAGCAGCTCCAGTACCGCCAGTACGAGCACCTCCAGGACCAGTGGCTCCAGCACCTCCAGCGCCAACCCGAGGGTCAGCAGCAACACCAACTCCAGTAGGCTCAGCGCCCTCAGCTCCAGCTCCAGTAGCACCTCCAGCTCCCACAGCACCACGGCGGCGGCGACAGTACCGAGAGTACCACTCACGCAGCTGCTGGGAAGAAAGAACGCCCCCAGGCGCAGCACCCCCAGGCTCAGGACCTCCAGACTCAGCACCCTTAGGGACAGCACCCCCAGTCTCAGCACCCCCAGGCTCAGCACCCGCAGTCTCCGCACCCCCAGGCTCAGCACCCCCAGTCTCCGCACTCCCAGGCTCAGCACCCCCAGTCGCAGTACCCCCAGACCCAGCACCACCAGGCTCAGCACGCTCAGGCTCAGCACGCTCAGGCTCAGCACGCTCAGTACCTCGCGCAGGACCAGAGTCGATAGCTACCTCGACAGGCTCGACCGGGTCTACCTGGGAAACACCTGAGGGAGCAGGACCCTGGGGAGGCAGGGGCAAGAAAACAGTAGGCAGGTTCATCCTCCTCATCCAGATCATAGCCATGCGGTAGAATCAGCAATGCCTCCTCTCTCCCAAGCTGCTGCTCTACTACATCAGCTCCTGCAGTCAGCTTCTTAGTAGCCATACGGGTACGTCCTGGCCTGGAGACGGGTGTTTCGCATCCCCTCATAACGACACCCTTCGGCTTCTTAGTTTTCCCCTGCTGCTGCTCTCTTCCCTCAGATCCAGCAGCTCCACTAGTGCTACCGCTAGTCTCCACACCATTGTTTTCACCGGCAGGTGCCTCCCGCACCTTCTGTCCATCACCACCCTCTGCAGCTGCCTCCTCTCCCTCCTCCCACACACTAGGAGTCAGGTCCAGCTACATGGTGATCTGGTCCATCTGCTGGGACACGCTGGCCTCCGGCTGTTTCTCCCAGCTCCCATACATCATGCCCTCAACAAACTTCACATCCCTGCTGTCAAACAACACAGCCTTGGAAAATTCCCGCAGCAGCCATCCCTTGCTCTCAGCAGCCAGCCCCAAATGCACACACCAGATTGCACTCACCCCCAACTTACTGCGGTAGGTCTTGGGGACGTGGGCGACTGCCATGCAACCAAACACCCTCAGCATGTCCACCGGCGGCTTCCTCCCAAGCCACCTCTCCAACGGCACCCACGAGTCATCCCCAACCTTGGTGAGTACCCTATTCCTAGCAACGGTAGCGTGCCGAACAGCATGGGGCCACATCAAGTTGCCCAGCCCAGATTCTATGAGCAGCGCCCTAGCTGTCTCCAGAATTGTCCGGTTCGCCCGTTCTGCTACACCGTTAGACTGTGGGGTGTAAGCCGTGGTCAACTCCCTCTGGATGCCCTGCTTCTTGAGCCAGGCCGTCATCTCAGCTCCAAGGAACTCACTACCCCGAGCTGTCCTAATCCGCTTCACCACACACTCCGCTTGCTTCTCCACGAATGGCAGCCAATCTTCGCGTATCGTAGAGGCGGCGTGGTCCTTCTGCTTTAGCGGATATGCCCACATAAGCCTGCTCCAATCATCCACTATGGTCAGAAAGTATCGCTCCACCTTGTGCCCCTGAACCGGCAGCGGCCCCACCAATTCCATGTGGACCAGCTCTAAAGGCTTCCTGCCAGTCACACTATGGAAGGGGAAACGGGTAAACTTTGAGAGCAAACATATTTCACAATTCTCATCAGGTGGCTGTGCGTTCAGCTTCAGACCCTTAACGACTCCATCTTTCTCCAACTGCTTCAACAAGGGCATTGCCACATGCCCCAAGCTGTTGGGTGCAAATTCACTTTGCACAACATCCTGCCATCTGTTTGTACGAGTATGCATGTGCGAATGCATTTGGGTGTGAGTGGAATGTTCGTGTGTTTGTTTGCTTTCGCAATTTTCGCTTGAAGCATTTGCAGGTACTCGCGCATTGTGCGCTTCGGCACAACATTGTGTGCGCGATGAATAGTACAAGCAGAAAGGACGAGCTCGCAAAGGAACCCAAGATGGAAGCTTTGCGGTTCGGCTTACTTCATTGCGCAGATTCAGTTCTATCCAACTCGAAATTGTACTGTTTTGTTTGGTTAACTATAGTGTAGCAGGGCAGGCACTATAGGGGTACAATTTAGGTGAAGGTTGGATGTTGTTTGTCTGTATCTGCATGCTACAGGGCCAGGGGAAACCAGCGGAACCAGCATTTGGCTGGTTGGGCAAAAACAAAACAGGTTCTGTTTTTAGGACCTGAATCTGGTTGTTGTTTTCCCAGGTTTTCCCAGGTAGGACTTCTCCCCCAGCTCCTTGATGAACTTCTCCTGTTGCAGCTTCAACCAACTGTGATCTGGATCCCTCTCCATATGCATCCCGAGGTAGTACTTTACCTCCCCAAGGTTCTTGCACTTGAAGTTTTCCATCAGCTGCTGCTGCACATTCTGGATCTCCTTGATGCTGCTGCTAAAGAGAAGAATGTCGTCCACGTAGACCAGAAACAGCACCAGCTTCTCCCCCTCCCCCTTGAGAAAGAGGCTCTCATCACAGCTGCTGGTCCTGAATCCCATCTCCTCTAAAACAGCTGCCAACTTCTGGTACCAGCAGCGTGGCGCCTGCTTCAAGCCGTAGATGGACTTTTTCAGCTTGCACACCCTGCCCGTACTATCCTCATACCCAGGCGGCTGCGTCATGTACACATCCTCCTCTAAAATCCCATTAAGAAATGCCGTTGATATATCCATCTGAATGATGAATTTCCCACTAACGGTTGCATCTGCCAACAAGACACGGAGGGTGGGGGGTTTGGCAGTGGGAGCAAAGATCTCATTGAAGTCCTGCTTCTCCTTCTGCATAAATCCCTTAGCCACCAGCCTACTCTTGTAGATGGTGAAAGAGGAGGAGAAATGGACCGGGAAATGACAACGTACCTGAGAATCACGGTGCCTCAGAGGTAGATTCGCCTTGGCGCTCGCGCTTGGCGCCTGTCGCCAGAGGCGACGGCGGGTAGGGAAGAGGAGGCGACGACGGGGAGGGAACGGAGAGGCGACGGCGGGGAGGGAGGGAGAGGCGACGACGGGGAGGGAGGGAGAGGCGACGACGGGGAGGGAGGGAGAGGCGACGACGGGGAGGGAGGGAGAGGCAACGACGGGGAGGGAGGGAGAGGCGACGACGGGGAGGGAGGGAGAGGCGACGACGGGGAGGGAGAGGCGATGGCGGGTGAGGAGGGAAAGGCAATGGCGGGAGGGAGGGAGGGGCGATTGCTAGGGTGAGAGGAAAACGCGATTGCTGGGTCGGTGGGAGGTAGCAAACAGCAGGGTGGGAGGGAGGGGAGGGGAGGCGATGGTTGGGTAGGAAGGTGTCAGGGAATGAACACTGTAGATTCTGTACTGTGCAGTTCTTGAATTCTTGCAATCGGAGTCAGTTGCCAAAGAATAGTCATGAAACATGTTTTTTCCAGAACACTACCACGATGCTACTACTTCATTTGGAAACCATAACAAAACTTGGGCAGTAAGAAAAAGCACACTAGATTTGGAAGCTAGTGTCACGTGAAAACACAAACGTAAACACGTGATACTTGTCAGCCACCAACCCTACCACAACCCACTAGAGCAATAACCTGATAGTATTATAATATTTTTTAGGCAATTGTTAAAATGTTTCTCAATTCTCTAACTAATATCTACCATCAGAAATTCAAAAAAAAAAAAAAACGAATACCATATTTTAAAAGTATGAGATAGCAGAATAATTGAATGCATTTTTATCAGTAAACGTTTTGTTTTTTCGTTCACTGTGAATGTAACGCGTACGCAACCCTTCCGACGTTAAAGCCAGCAGCTAAAATAGTGACCTCCCCCTTCTAGTTGGGTCCACTTGACAACAGAAGTTTTTTTGGCACGGCCTTCACTATTTTATATTTCGGTTTTAACGTCGAATCTTGTTTGGATTTCCACTATTCGGATTTCCAGAGCTGTTTCCTAGGGAACTCTAAAATTCAGGGTTTTTTTTTTTTTTTTTTTTTTTTTTTTTTTTGTCCATCAAATCATCTATAAATGCTCCAGAGTTTAGCAATGATACATGTGCGTATGTTGGATACTAAGATACGACCCTTATGTAATGTTCACAATGACTTCTTTCTGGAAAAGAAAGGAAATGAAGAAAGAAAGGGAGAAGGAAAATGAAACCGCCAAAAAGAACCCAAATGCAACACACATAAAACCACCCCTCAAGATACCCAATCAAAACGCCGAGTCAAGACAACCCATCAAGACATCCCATCCCACACCCCATCCCCCTCCCCCCCCCCCCTCTTCAATCACAACAGCGTATCGACCATGTACGGGGCCTCCACCCAGAGAGCCCCGCCTTCCACTTCGACATCGTCCCTCTCCCGGTCCACCAAATATACGTTAATCCCCCCCATGTGACCCTAAAAGATGAGCCGAAAACATAGAGTCGTCCTCTCGACAAGCCCCCCGCGACACAGCTAGCCCCACGTGCGCATCCCCCTGCTGACGAAGCCACCGCTGAATGTCAGAATGAACAAGAGTGATTGCACTAGGAAAGAGTTGGGTACAAGTAGGAAACCCTAAACTTACTGTACCCCATAGTAACTACCCCACTTTAGCCTAAACAAACTGTAGTAGACATAACTTTTGACACACCCCCATAGGCAAAGTGGGGGAGAGCAAGGGGTCACAAGACCAATCAAGAAAGGCAAATCAAGCTCAGGGTGGATCACAACGTCACCACACACTCTGAGCACAAGCAAAGGGCCACAAGGCCAGTCCACATGCAGAGGCATATATGCAACACAAACAGCACAGTGATCTCTACCTAGCAAAGCAAGCATGCAGGTATATATATATATATAGATCACAGTACAAGCAAAGCCTACAGCAAGTGAGGAAAAGTGGGCACAAGCCCTAGCATAGTGCAGAAACGCTGATGATCACCAGACTGAAGTGCCTTGGTGAATATATCAGCAGTGTTGGCCCGAGTGGCCACGTAACGCAGACGAAGCTGACCACGCTGCTGCAACTCTCGAGCCAGGAAGTAACGCAGAGCGATGTGCTTCGTTCTGTGCTCCAGTCTGTGCTCCTCACACAAGGCAATGGTAGCCTTGTTGTCGACGTACAGCACTGGAGGAGAACGAGGCCGCTCTCCCAAGTCAGTCAGCAGGTAGGTGAGCCAGCGTAACTCCTGTGCAGCCATGGCTGTGGCGTAGATCTCAGCCTCACAACTGGAGCTGAGAACTGAAGACGAACGTGTAGAACGCCAAGAAACTGAACCAGAGCCAAGGCTGAAGGTGTAACCCTGTGACGACCGCTGAGTAGCCTGGTCGTCAACCCAAGAAGCGTCTGAGTGCCCAGTGAGGACAACTGAGCTCCTCCCTCCAAGCACGAGTCCCATGCCTGATGTACTGCACAAGTAGCGCAGTACCCTCTTAGCAGCATCCATGTGCACCTTTCGGTGCCGACCAGGAGCCACGTAGCGAGCCAGAAGGCCAAGAGGGTACGCGAGGTCAGGACGAGTGCAAGTCATCAGGTACATGAGACAGCCAACTAGCTCTGGCTAAGGACCACTCGGCTCTACGGACTCGTCCGAAGGTGGAGCTGAGAACGAGTGACCTGTAGCCAGTGGAGTGGCCTGTGCCGAGGACCAGGTGAAGCCGAAGCGCTGAAGGACCTGCTGCACCATGTGTGACTGAGTCAGTGTGATGGTGCGGCGTGCTCTGTCCCGGGTGATCTGCAAGCCAAGGTAGCTGCGCAGTTCACCCAGGTCTGTGCACGTGTGTCTCTTCTGCAGCTCCGACTTCACGAGGGCGAGAGCCTCAGTGTCAGCAGTGGCAAAGACCAAGTCGTCGACGTACACGAGGATGTAGAACGGCGGCATCGAAGTGTCGGTGCGCAGAAACAGCGACGGGTCAGCAGTAGAAGGCGCGAACCCAAGAGCCGCAAGTGTAGTCCTCAGTGTGTCGTGCCAATCACGTCGCGACCGTAGACCGGCCGCCGGAGGCTCCACTGGGTACCAGGAGGGAACGACCCAGTGAAGCCAGGAGGGCGGCGCAGCCAGATCTCCTCGTGCAGGCTGCCCTGCAAGAAAGCTGTGCTGAAGTCAAGAGAGTGAAGCTCGTAGTCACGCTGAGCGGCAACGTGCAGTAGCACCAGAAGAGTGGTCATCTTTGGGGTGGGGGAGAAGGTCTGGAAGAAGTCTACTCCCTCTCGCTGACTGAAGCCTCGAGCAACGTAACGAGCCTTGAAGACAGGCGGAGAACCTGGCGGCCGCTTCACCCTGAAAATCCACACGCCACTGACGATGTTCGCCCCAGGAGGGGGAACCTCGTCGACGTAAGTGCCAGTGGACTTCCAGGATGCCATCTCTGCGTCCATGGCTGACTGCCACTGAGAGGAGTACTCACCCACGATCGCCTCAGCGTAAGAGCGCGGGGTCGGGATGTCTGGTGCATCCGGGTCTCCCTCAGGTGCAATCAGCATGGAGACGAGATGAGGTACAGCGGCGGCAAAGCACTCAAACTCCTCCTGCCTGTCCTCAAGGACGTCCGTGCCAAGAGCACACTCACCCCCGACGGACGGAGGACATACATACTCAGACTCAGACTCAGCAACAAGACTCGCAGCGTAGTCTAGACGACAGTGAGCAGCAAAGTCGACAAGCTCAGCAACTAAGGCAGACGCAGCAGCTGACTCAAAGGAAGGGTCAGTGACAGCAGTGGCCAGGAGACGCGTGACAGTAGGACTAGCAGCACGAAGAGAGTCAGACTCCGGGTCTGCAAGGGCAGGAAGAGAGGACGCAGGAGGAGAAGGCAGCGGGACACGCTGTGGAGCAGTGGAAGGACGAAGCGCCATCTGGTGAGTGCCTGGGACAGCAGGAGGACGCTGACGCGGGACACGACGACCAGTGCGAGCAGCACGAACAGGTGACGCAGACCGAGACTCAGGCGACACAGGACGAGACTCAGGCTCACGACGCTCCGTAAGACCGCCTGTCGGACCAGTGTAGGGAGAAGGACCAGGGAGTGGCGAGGCAGGCGGTAGCTGTGACAGCGACTGGACAGGCGGAGGACACTCTAAGGAGGGAGCAGGACAAGGAGGAGGCGGCTGACCAAGAACCTGCTGAAGGAGGGGAACGAAGTACGGCTGTGGCCGTGAAGTGCCCCCAGAACCAGCAGAGACAGCACCAGAACCTCCAGCAGCAGCTCCATCTCGCTCAGCACCACCAGCAGCTCCAGTACCTCCAGCAGCACCAGCAGCACCTCCAGCAGGACCAGCACCAGCAGCACCTCCAGCAGCACCAGTACCTCCAGCAGCACCATCCCCAGTACCAGCAGCACCACCAGCAGCTCCAGCAGCTCCAGTACCTCCAGCAGCACCAGCAGCACCTCCAGCAGGACCAGCTCCAGCAGCTCCAGTAGCACCCCCAGTCCCAGCAGCTCCAGTACCGCCAGTACGAGCACCTCCAGGACCAGTGGCTCCAGCACCTCCAGCGCCAACCCGAGGGTCAGCAGCAACACCAACTCCAGTAGGCTCAGCGCCCTCAGCTCCAGCTCCAGTAGCACCTCCAGCTCCCACAGCACCACGGCGGCGGCGACAGTACCGAGAGTACCACTCACGCAGCTGCTGGGAAGAAAGAACGCCCCCAGGCGCAGCACCCCCAGGCTCAGGACCTCCAGACTCAGCACCCTTAGGGACAGCACCCCCAGTCTCAGCACCCCCAGGCTCAGCACCCGCAGTCTCCGCACCCCCAGGCTCAGCACCCCCAGTCTCCGCACTCCCAGGCTCAGCACCCCCAGTCGCAGTACCCCCAGACCCAGCACCACCAGGCTCAGCACGCTCAGGCTCAGCACGCTCAGGCTCAGCACGCTCAGTACCTCGCGCAGGACCAGAGTCGATAGCTACCTCGACAGGCTCGACCGGGTCTACCTGGGAAACACCTGAGGGAGCAGGACCCTGGGGAGGCAGGGGGTCTACCGAAGCAGCACCTGGCGTGAGGAAGATCGGCGGAGGGGGGAGCGGGGCAGTGCGTTAGGGGAAGAGATGGTAAAAGGGGACCGACTCGTCAAACGTGACATCCTGAGAGGGGAAGACACGGCGTGAGGTGGGGTGGTAAAACTGCCAGCCAGGCGCGTCAGGGACAAAGCCCAGGAAGACACAAGGAACGGCACGGGAGGAGAGCTTGTCCGCGGACGTATCGCGGACAAAGGCACGAGATCCCCAGACATGGAACACAGACGCATCGCCAACCGCTCCCGTCCAACGCAGTGTCGGTGAGGTCTCCGGAACGGAGACACGGGGCCAGAGGTTGAGCTGATGCGCGGCGTACCGGACCGCAAACGGCCACAGAATATGGGGGGCAGCCGCATGGATCAAGGAGGTACGAGCGACCTCCATGACCAAGCCAATGCGGTGCTCAGCAACCCCATTCTGCTGAGGAGAGGCCGGAAGCGTGAACGTCTGCTCAATGCCCTCCCCCTGACAGAAGGCCTCCAAGAGGCCGGAGGAAAACTCACCACCTCTGTCAGAGTGCAGTCGCAGGACGGGAAGGTCCGTGCGAAAGCGCCTCTCCAGCTGGAGACGAGTAGCGCGGATCCAAGGGATCAAGACAGCAGGGACCTCTCCCTTGGTGCGCAAGGGGAAGACCGTGGTGTAACGCGTGTAGTCGTCAACTACCAGCAGGAAGTAGCGCTCTCCGCCCTGTCC